GCTCGGCCTGGGGAGCGCTGTGCCGCCGGTGTGTTGCCTTTAGCTGGGGAGAGGAGTATTGAAGTACAATGGTAGATCACACTGGTAAAGAAATGCAAACGATGTTTCACTTAGTCTTGGCTTGTTGGGGAAATTTTTGAAAGACTGGTTAATTTGCAGAAGAGTTGAGGCTTTTTTGTAGCACTAATGGATGCCATTTAGTTACTGTTTTAGTTGTCTAGACGTTTGAGTGAGGAAAAACTCTTGATGGCCTTTTAGGAACAGGATAAGTGAGGGGAAAAAAAAGTGATTTGCTGCTTGAATTCATAGAATGAAAGAGACTGGTGCTTCAAATTGCATGTAGGCATGGCTGAAAGAAGTCCAGCTCCTGAAAGTATTTTGGCAAATTGTCCACTGTTACATTAGGTTTGTGAAGGGGACTTGGGATGTAGTTTCTCTATGTATTTTTAGACTTCGGTTGACAAATTGCATCATCTGAACCACTCTTATGCACCGACCCCTTTTTGGCAATATAAGGTAACATAATATCCGTAACATTTAGATGACAGGTTCGTGGAGGAGTGGGTGAGATTTAGAGCCTTGCTGTTGTTTGTTTAGTGTTTTTGTATCATGGGGTTTTGGGTTGGGTGGGTCGTTTCTTTTTATTTTCTAGGACTACTGTTTGAGCAGGAAGTTCAAGTATATGATGTCCTTCTGTCCCTTCCAAACTGAATTCTGTAATTCAGCTTGGTCATACTGAAGTCTTTTATGTTGGATATAAGTATTTGTTTCACTACGGTTGTCTGTTACAATTGTGTTAGTGATGTAATTTTATATACTCTGGTCTCTATGATCTTTGTCAACCTCATGCTTAACATCGATTCTAGACTGCTTTCAGGTACTTCGATTTTAGTAATGGAGCTAAAATTGAGTTTTAGAGCTAATTGATTTGTGTTTAGTACAGAGGGTTTATTTTTCTTACTGTTCCTTCTCTGATTTTTCTTCTTAAATATCACTTAAAACCAATGTAGGTATTATAACAAACAGGCCCTCCTCAGTGGCACGCTTGTATTGTTGGAGAATATTTAACTGGTTGAATTGGTAGGTTGAGGTTGTATGTGATCAAAATTACAGCAGTTGCACCTCTCTGCCTCTGGTTGCTACTTGTCACCGCCGCGCTGCAGCATGCTGACACAAGTTTGAGAAACTGCAGTATGACTTGACCTGATAAAATAGTTGTACCTGCCAAAAGAGGCAGTATCCATATTGTCTGCTCCCTTGTCCTGGCTTCATAGCCTCTCCCTCTCTAGTCCCTTTGACCCTGTGCTCAGCCAGCTCGACTTGTTAAACTGGCAAAATGCCAATCTAGCAAAAACTGAATAGTTTTCTGCTGGGTTAACAAGTCAGACCAGGTTCGTGGCAGGCCTAGTGCGTGCTAGAATACTCACAAGGTAGAGGGCAGAACTGTACTGGGAGAGGAAAAGGAAGAGGAGAAGAAACAAGACTTTCAGCAGTAGCTTCACACCTTCTTTTCTGTGGAACTGTTATTTTGGGAAAAGGAAGGAATTATTTTTAGCCTGAACCAGTTACACGAGCAGATTCGCAGCCCTGTTCCCCGTCCACATCCCACTGTTGCTGTAGCCAAAGATTACCACAACATTTCAGCTGTTTAATTTAAATGGGATTGGTGAAACACTGGCTGTTTTTTATGGGTTAGTGGGTTGGTTTTTATGGGTTAGTGGGTTCGTTGTTTATTTAATTGAATCATTTTTTAGATCCATGTATTACAGGTAGTGATCACCTGTGCTGGAAACGCATGGCTGGGGATGGAACAGTGCAAACTAAAAACAGTATTTAAACTGTTAACACATTGTTGAAAGAGGTAATACAGAACTAGAGGTTAAAACAATCATTTTGTCTACAAAATTATTGAGAGGTTGTTCCGTAGTAGGAAATCACAAAATCTTACCGCTTTCCGAGTTTCCCTAAAGAAATGGATAGTTGCAACTGGAGTAGTTTTGAGTGAATTCTTTGTATTTATTTATTATGTGTGTTGTTGCTAAGTATCTAAACACTTTACATTTTTTGCTTTCTAGAACTAATATGCATGAACGGCTGAACAGGACAGAGAGGCAGTTTAGATCTCTCCCAGCTAACCAACAGAGTCTTCTCCCTCAATTCCTTCCTCACCTTGACAAGATTCGGAAGTGCATTGATCATAATCAACAGATACTACAGACCATTGTGAATGACTGCGTTCATATGTTTGAAAATAAAGAATATGGAGAAGATGTATGTTAAAACTAGACTTTTTCATAGTCCAAAGTTAAATCCTGTATGCTTTGGAATTTTCTGCATTTGTTTTTTCACACCTTTTGTTCTCCAGCATTCTTTCCTTTTGCCCTTCTTACCTTTTCTCCTTTATGAATTCCTGTTTGCTTATATTTCTCACTCTCATTTTCACATCTTGTAGAGATGATTAATAAAGCAATATGTTGTTGGTCTTTTTAGTTACTCTTATGAAAACTAATAGAGACTCTATGGCAAATGTCAGTCATCACTTTTTCTTTTTTTTTTTTTTTTTAATACTCTAGAGTTCTAGCTCTGCTCTGGTTACGCTTTAATCTTATTTTTCTGTTTGGCTATATAGGCTGTAATTGATATTGTTTGCCTTCTTATAGGTTATTGTATGTTATGACGTTGTAAATCATTTTATATGGGCCAAGGATTCTGAATGTTATCATCTATAACATTTAGGTTAATTTTTTCATTGCTTATCTGCTTTTCAGCATGGCATGTCTATCACAAAAAATTCACTTGGACTTGAAAGACTCGCGGTGATGAAAATTGAAGTCTGTTTTTTGGTATTTGCAGGCTAAGTACAGTTTGGGGCAGCTCCAGCGTGAGCTTCTCTAGGCTGCCTCAGTAGTGGCATAGAAGGACCTCCTTCTCAGGGTGGGAGGTTCAGTCCCTGTACCACCTCAGCCCTGGTCCTTTATGATCCTCAGTTATGCCATAATATATGCTGTTTTTGTGATGTGGACCCTGGTCTATGGGGGACTGAACTGACACCACCAGACTCAGTTCGTTTAGGATTCTAGGCAGCGTTTGAACCTTGATCTCAGAGGTGAGAGGCAGGTGCTTTATCAGCTAGCACTTCCGACAGCCCTACTACCGTGATTTTTTTTTTTTTTAAATCTGCTTCTACTTTATTTTTCATTTTTCAAACTAAACATACTTATATATTTTCACTAACCTTTTGTTTTTCCACTTTAATCAGGGAAGAGGGAAGATTACACCAGCTTCAACGTTTGACATGGATAAATTAAAATCTACTTTGAAACAGTTTGTAAGAGACTGGAGTGAAGAGGGGAAACCTGAAAGAGATTCCTGCTACCAGCCAATCATTAGTGAAATTGTAAAGAACTTTCCAAAAGAGAGATGGTAAATAGTGTTTTAAGACTTAATTTTATGTGGGCATGCACTGTTGCACAAACATAACGTTTTTAGGAAGGAAGGAAGAAAAAGCTTGGATTTAATAATTCAGCAATTGCTGTAAATGCTTTAATCGAGAAAGTTTGTTTTTGATAGAAGGTATTGGATAAGAGCACAATCATAAACTTTATATGTAGTAAGCCAGGAATAAATATTTGTTTTCTGTGGCTTGATAACTGTGTCCCTGCTAACTTTTAATGTCATAGTATTCAGAAGGCTGTAGAGTTAACCCAGTGGTGCTCAGTGAGGTAAAGTTTGCAGGTTAGCTGGTACTCGGAGTGCTTGTACTGTAGATTAGAGAAAGGCCATTTTGACAGCAGCAAATGTGAGTATTGCCATCCTTGGTAGAAAGAGAAAGGAGAGAAGATGACTCATTTTCCCCGTAGTAGTTTTGTTGCAGATATTTTGCAAATGCTTAGCTCTAGCCTTGATTTCAGGCAGACACTACGAGGCAAGTCTTAGAAAAACTTTGTTGGATGTACGCGCATAATTCTGTAATTGAACTCCCTTGCTAAGAAACCCCAACACAATAGTAATCAGTGCAGTGTTTTATATGTAACTTTAAGTAGAAGAATAACAGTAGAATCTGAGGAACGTTTGTATATTGAAGAAACAGAATTCTTACAGCAATTATCAGTAGTAATGCTGTCATTTAGTCAGCTAGTTATCATAAAGTATCTTCCAGTTTAAGCTTGACACTTGGCAGGAAACATTATTCAGTACTGAAATACAGTGATAATTTTAATATCACTTGTGAGCTTTGTTCTCATAACATCTCAGAATTTAGGTTTGATATAGCTGGAGGCTACTGTGGGTTTGTTTCTTTCTCAGTGTTTGCTAATAATGCACTTATACCAATTTGCAAATAACTTCTACTAGCCATCTCTTCATTTTCGTGAATGAGGACTACTAGTGGTGGCAGAACATGGTGTGGATTCTGATACAGGCAAACGGCAAGATCAGGTCGATTGCTGGGTGTCCTTTTTGCTTTGGGCTAACTTATCTCAAGGTGGAACGCTCCTGCACCACCTAAGAAGTGTTGTTTGAAAATGAGCTTTCCACAGTACACTGAATAATATAACTTGAATGCCCTGTCCTTGTGGGATACAAGGCATTCCTCAGTCTTTAGTTGTATAAAAAACTGCAATAAGTTTAGTTTTTGCATGTTTAGGTGAAACTGTTTCTTTAGCGCTCTCCCTAGGAGTTATCCTAGGGGGAAAAAATGCCAGTAAAGGATTTCCTCTTTGTTAAGAGTTACAGTTTACATATAAACACTTTTGGTAGCAGCCTCTGGGAAGAGATGACATTGATGAGACTTAATCTTTGTCTCTAAAACTGGCTTTGCGTTTCGATTCAGTGGAAATCCTCCTTTAGTTCTTAGTTTGTAGATGGGCAATGTCAATGTGTTGTGTATTTAATACAAGGCTTTCTGTGTAAAGGCCAAACAAGTTGGATGACGACTGGAGAAAAGTCTTGTTCTTCAAGCGTGGTGTTAATATATTAATCAAAAACTAGGAACAAATGTATAGAAGAAAATAGTAAGCCTTTTTACATAAAACTCCTGAGTGAGAGCGGCAGTTTTGTGAATTCACACGCATTTAAAACTGGAAGTGATAGAGCAATGTGTCATACAAAATGTTTCTTACAACATTTTTATATTTATATTCACCAAGTCCTTTCTTTGTAAGATACAAAGTGTTTCTTTTTCCTGATAAAGGTCAAATCACTGTTCTGAATGCAAAATTTTAGCTTCTGTATCTAAATAGTATAACAGTAAAGGATGTAACTGTAAAATGTGCTGCAGACAGCTGTAGCTGCTCGTAGCTTAAGAAACAGAAGATGTGAAAGGGAGCACAAAAGGTGATGTGGCAGAAAGAATTATTTTTTGGAGAGTTCTCTAGGAGAAGATCACTTTTTTGGGGGGATAGAGACCTTGTTTGTATCCAGCTTTTTGTCATGTCATTGAATGACAATAATATATTTTATCTGAGTCGAGCTGAAGACCACCTTAGCTGCAGAGGACTGCAAAATAGTAGTACTCAAGAAAACGATCCATTTTTAGCAAAGTATTTGAAACAAGGAACAGGAGGAAAAATCAGATTTATTCTCCAGGCATCTTCACTTCGTTTTTCCTAAGGCAGCAATACTGTGTGAATCGGTTTATTCACACTTTAACTGTTCTTGAATCTTTGATAGGTTTTCAGTGCTAATAGTGCCCTAGATGAGATAACTTGTAATATTTAATTATTTTTAACTGATGTGTCTCTAGTACAGATCTGTAGGAGAGGCCATAGGTATGGAAGTAATCTGTTAAATCTTAAAAATGGCAGTTCACTCTTTTGTACGTTAGCTTTTAAAGTTTTTGGTTATAGAAGAGGTAACTTTGGTAAAGTCTTAGAGATGCATGACCGAAGTTGGAAAGTTTTGACTTGTACCTTTATCATCAGTAAACTTTGTTTAAAATCTTCAGATTGGTTTTAGGAAGCAACATTGGTAACAAATGGGGTGAATCTCTAGTTGATGGCTTTGTGCTACTTTACTAGGAATTCTGTTGTTTTTTTCCATCAGACACAACAAATGTGACACCGCTTCTCTCCCTGTTGGGATGGCACTGAAATACCAGTTGCTTTTTTTTTTTTTTCCTTTTTCTATCTCTATAGAAATCTCAAAATACTTTTGTTTACATCAGACATCTCTGTTACAAGTTGAGTTTCTGTCTAGTGAAATGTTTGCATTTTGAAAAGGCATATTGCGTACACATCTATTTAAAAGTTTAAAATCAAGCTCATTGTGGAGCTGTGGTAGCACTTACGTAAAGAACTTTTCTTCTGTGTTAGTTTTTGTCCCCAGTTCATTCTGTATGCCAGGGTCCAGAGTCTCTCCTGCATTGGTGTACTGTCTTTTCAGGAAGCAGGAAGCACAGTAGTTCAAAAGTACTTGTTCTCTTTGTTTATGTAGTATGAGGCTTACTGTCTGTGTCATCTCAACCTCATGGAAGAGGCAACTTGTCTAGCAGAGAAGGCTGTCACTAATCTGGTTCCTTTTTTAAAGTTTTTATGGGGATCTGTTGCTTCAGTTTGAAGGGAGGGACGGGGCTTAGTCTGATCATAGTGAAGTTATTTTGGCTGTTATGTACACAGTAGGTGCAAAGCTATTTCCTTTAGAGAGTACTGGCTGTGGGTGGTTGTGTAGGAAGGTGGCCTGTGGATGGAACCTCAAAGAGCACCTTTGCATGCATTTCTCTTCAGTAGTGTTAAGTGCTGAAGTGTCCTGCAGTGATGAAATTTTTAAAGAAAAAGTGTATTACTGGCATTTGGTAAAGAAAAATGGTTTGCCTAGATGTATTTTGCATTAAAATTGATGGAGGAATAAACACTCTAAATTTAAATCTGTTACTACAAGTCAACCTGTATATTCTTAATGGCTTCATTAGACCTGTATGTTCAGTTTCTAATTAACATCATTTATGTTGCTTCCATGCATTGGAGTCTTGAAAAAGGAATATAGGAGGTTTATGGAAAAATATGTGGGCATGGCATTCCGATCACTTTAAGAATTGAAAAAGATGATTTGCTATTAGAGGTTTTAAGTTGCAATCTGAAACTGTCTGCATATGTTTGCTGCTGTTATAGCTTCATGCACGCTGGTATTGCATTGTGGCTATTTTCTGCAATATCAGCCTCCATCAGTTCTCCGGGCATGCAAAGAATAGGAAAGGAAATATTGAATGCTCTATATGCTTGCAGTTTTAGGATGCAGAACAAGGAATAGTGGAAAGCGGCCGTAAATGAGAACGGTCTTGCGAGTAGGGGCTGATGTTATCCTGCGTTTCAGTCAAGTTTCTTGGCAAGACTCATCCAAAAATAAAAAATGCAAAAGCTGTTTCTGCCTCTTGTTCCTCTTCAGAAATCTTTTTTCCTTCTGTTAGCATCGCATCTGTTAGTAGGATCACCAAAGCAGCTGAGGAGAAGTTACATGAGATAAGGATCTTTCTGAAGCAACAACAGATTTCCTGTATTATTCAGTCTGGAATTTCTAGAATTGTCCACCTTCTTGACCAAGCCTTCTGAATTTCTTTGGTCTGAATGAGCGTGACCACTGTTTTCTGTGGGAGAAAATAGTGAAACACAGATATACTTTTATTTCCTGATTAAATGCGACCATTTAGGCATATTTATGGTAAAACCAAAAACTGAAAATCTGGATGAGTGTACTGAGGAGCATTACTTTACAGCGAATATTTCTTTCTAAACTTGATAAATTTTTTTTGTTCTAATTAATTTTTCTTCTCTTTAATTTTATTTCTGTTACCCTTTCTACTTATCTGAAAGGACATAAAGATCTAATTTGTCGTCTAAATGGAACCAAAAAGATGTTAAACCTTTAAGTTAGCTAATATCATTCCATGTCCAAGATCTATAAGCTTAGGTATTTTCTCCGAACTTCTCCTTTGTTCATTAACTTGGCCTATGGAACCCCCATGATTAGAAATGTAAATCTAATCCCTAGTACAGCAGTTGACTATATTTTCCTTATATGCCCAAAAGAAGTGACAAGTACTTAGCTTCTTTTTTATTTGAAAAATTTATCTCACTCATTTTAAGGCTGAGCTTGGCTATACTTTTTTGCGTGCAGAGTCACGTTTGTAGTGACTGTATTTAACGTAAATTCTACTTGAAACACTGAATTTATCAGCAAATGATGTCTTCAGTGTTTTTCCAGTCCGCAGAAGGCTTTGCAGGTCCTGAAATTAAAGTATATAAACCTAAACTTATAAAGAGAAGACTTGCTCTTCAACTGATTGCACTTTTTAGTTACTTTCATTACCGACAAATATTGCAGAGATTGCATCGGGAAAAAATGAGTTGACAAGTTGCACAGTGTGATACATGTTCACTGGTCTTCTAAGGAGAGTATATTTCTGATGTATAGTGTTTCATAGCAATGTAAGAACTCCTTGAAGTAGTTGCCTCTGCTTTAAAGAAAAAACCCCAGTGCCAGAAGAGATGCATTACCACTCATAATGTCTAATTTTTGAATTTACGTGCTTCTAGTAACAGAAGCAAACATGGTGTGGTACCTGTCTTCTGAGAGGTTTGTGTCCTTACATAGTGTTGAACTGCAGTGTTAAGTTTATGAGAATGAAGTTTATCTGCCATCACACGCCACTATATTTTTATTTTAGCTGAAGCACCTTCAGATTTTTCTCTTAAAACTCAGCGGGCATAGAATACAAAGCCTATATCTTTTATTGTGTATAATTTTTCCTTGAAAATTGATAGCACGTTGAAGCCTTCAGTAACAACGTTAAGCTTCTAAAAATTGAAAACGTGTCAAGCATGCGAAATGTGAAACAGTAATGGCATGACAAATTTTAGTAGCATTTCTGATGATATTCGTCCTCTCTCTCTTTAAGAGGCTGCAGCATATACATAACTTATCCCAAGCAATGTGTTAGCCCACTTCCCTATATCTCTGATGTTAATAGGCCAAAATTTCTCCCCTTATGCCCTACCGGTGTTCATATTCAAAATGTGTGATGTAGTGAGGTGAAGCATAATACCCATTTATGTTCCTACCAATGCCAGAGCTCTTCTGATCTGTGGCTTAAAAACGCTTCTGCTGCTTGCTAGTGTAAGGATAATTTCACTGAGGATAACCTTCAGTTTGTGATCAGTTATTAGGGGCTGGAGGAGTTTCTTTAATTGTCTTTGCTTCTGCTGCTATTATGTATCTACTGTAGGAAAGTAGGTTTTTCTAGCCTCCTAAATTGGCTCATGACTGTTTAGCCATTAAGAAGTAGTTTCTGTGCAATTTAAATTTTTTAGCAGTTCTGATTCCTAGCTCCTCTTTCAGCTAATTTTAACATGTAGTTTGATGTTATAGCCGAGTTCATATAGTACAAAGCTGCTTGTTGCAGAGTGAGTGTGCTAGGTATCTAATTTCTCCAATTTTAGATGACAGAAAGTGTCTTGTACCATTTTGACCCTGGCAACTAATGTAAAGAGGATAGATAGGAATTAAACTGCTAACACACTTCGGGACAAACTTCAATCCTGTAATAAGGTTACAGAGGAAAGTGCAGTTAAAATCCAATTTTTCAACACTGCTATGTGAATAAAAAGATACAAGCCAATTGCAAACAATTGAAAATCAGCTTGCTTCTATGAAACTTTATGTTGCGTCAGTATGAATAAGGGTGCAAATTTAGAACACTGGCTATACCGGTATAGCTCTCTTTGTGTATGAGTGTCTTTTCCGATCAGTGTGCGACGTGTTGGAATTGGTATAAGGTTTTTGAAGCTGATGTTACCGTAAAATGTAAGTGTCCACATGGGGTTGCAAAAATCTATATAGAGCTAGTTGAAATAGTTCATAAAGATAAATTGTAAAGAAATAGATGAGGTGTAACTGTGGTTGCAATAACGGTGAATAGTTACACCACTACTAATAGAAACAGCTGCAAAATTGAGGTTCCTTTAACTTTTCCCAGCAGATGATTCAAATCGCCTTCCTTTCAGGGTCCTATTTTCGAAATTTATATTAGGCAAAGAGTTTTCCCTTGAATTCATCTCTTTCCTTTTTTCTGTGGGACTTCTTGGCTGGTTCATTATTCCTTCTCCTGACCTTCCTTGTAGAAGAGAGGTAAAGAAAAGTTAACTCTTCTTTCGCAGAAGTGCTTTTAAATAGTAGTAAAGTGCTATCTTTCCGCTTCCCATTAATCAAAGAATAAAGAATCTGCAATTATTACGTGAAAGGAATAAAAATTAGGAATGCAAAAAACTTTGATTTTCAGTTTGGGAAGCTTCACCAGTTAAGTGAAGCCACAAACCAAAAGGCACTCTAATAAATCACTTTGTTAGTTTGTGTGACCTTTAGAAAAGAATACTAAATTATGTATAGGTTGTCAGTACTTTCTCTCTTCTATAGTTGGGTGATGATCGTTAGAAATACTTCTTTTCGGAAGTTTTGCTTTCTCTCTCTCTTTTTCTCTTTTTAATGCTGATTGTGGCTTTCTTCATTTAGTTACACGTATACTTTAAATTCATTCACAGATACTTTGCCTCTGAAGGTGTAGTGCAAAAGGGAGAGAGGGCTGAATGTTCACCCTTGTTTTTGATATATGAAATTAGTCCTGTTCAAGGCTGAAAACTGGGAAATTATTGGAGAATATTAAAATATTTAAGTGCTTACATTCTTCATATGTAGGTGGCTTTGGGTGGTTCCACTTGGCTGCATGTGCAAGACCAGATTCCTATGAATAGCCTTGTCCTTTGAGTCAGCATCTGTGCCACGTTCACTTTTTTGCTTCCCGCAGCAAGGAGTACAGAGTTCTAACGTTTAGTTGTAAGATAAGAATCCTGTACTGTATCTTGCAGACATGTATTATCCTTTTAAATTAAAATTTCTATTCTTATTTGGCATGCTTCCTTTTCAGATGATACATCTTTTCAGTTTGGTGTGGAGGTGTTTTTGTTTTGAGAATGAAGATTCCCGTTTGTGTTTGTCCTGTATATGAAAGGGTCTCTACTCTTGGGCGGAACAGGAAATGAAAAGCTGTATGCTGCCAGGTTTGATCGTATTGTGATGCAAGCATACTGGTTAATTAGAATATGTATATATTACCTTTTCTGCCTGGAAGAGGAGAACATTTTGAGATTCTTTAGTTATTCTGTTTATTAATTGCTGGACTTGGAAGCTGGGAGAGCTACTCAAATTTGCTACTCAGATTTGCTACTCAAATGTGGGGCATCAGTCTTCTGAGAAATTCCTGGTATTAGGCATGTTCTGTACAGCTAATTCTGCAGCAACTTGTCCAGCCATTTATCACAATAAGTCAAGATCCTGGATATAAGCAAGTTATAACAAGCATTTCTCATTGGCAGTTTTAGCTTTGCCATAGGAGAGAAGAATGCTAGAGCAGATGCTGTGCGCCGTGGAAAAGAAATGGAGAGTCTCTCAATCTTCCTCTGCGAGTTTAACAGCAAATCATGCCTGAAGTATTAGTATCAGTCAAGACTGACAAATATAAAAATATATTCCACATATAAAGCCTACTGTGATGTCGGTATGTGATACTAGACACAGGTTGTCTTGGTGCTGAACAGCTTCGGTGAGGACAAAGATGTGCTGAGAATCTTGGCACAAGGCTAATTAATTTTCGCAGTATTTTCATAATTGGAGAGCCTTTGGCTTCTCCACTGTCAGAACTGCCTTTGTTCAAATGACTTTTGGAAGGTCACTGCAAAGATTTCCTTGCTGGTAGAACAGAAGCAGTGCCTCAGATCATCTCTATCACTTGAAGAGGTCAGCTATGCTTATAAGAAGTCTCTAGCAGAGCTTTTAACCCTTTGCCACCACTGTGTGTCTGGGATGATAAAATGGGATTTAAATAGAAAGTATAGTCAGGAGTTTTTATGGCGAATAGGTGGAATTTAAAGCTCCCACATTATTGGTTCCTCACAGTATGTCATGCCTGTGATGTTAAATACCCTATTTTACAGAAAAGGAAGGAAGGTGAAGTAAGGTAAACGTAGCCCCAGAAGAATTCAGCTGGGCTGTTCCGTCTTTCCTGCATGAAGAGGCTGTCAGGCCTCTATGGGTGAGCCAAAGAGGAGCTGGTCTAAATCTCTCAGTAACCGAACACTGCTGGACATCTTCCTGTAGTCTTCAACTTGATGTCTAGCTATGGGAAGTGAAGTGCAGAGAGCTACACTGTACTTTGCTTTAGGAAACCCAGTGTTGCTTATGTGCTTGAGTGAAATCAAAACCCCCAATTGCTGAAAAGTTTTAAGTATTTTTAAGTTTTTATAATCTGAATTGTTCATTGTCAGCTAATAGAAATTTTGCCTGCTTTGTGTTTCTGATGTCAAAATACTCGCTTACATCACTTTGTACTTGTAAGAAATAAACAAGAACTGCATTTCTGCTTTCTAGAATATTTACTGGCTATCAGTGGGCATCATAGAAGAACAAATGGTGATATGTGATCATGTTCTTTCTTTCTGCAAATCACTTTAGCTTTTAAAGTCATTAGAAAAAATATTTTGTTAATGATGCGCTATATTGACTAAGGATTGCATCAGTGTAAGTACTTTTATTCTGTGCACATATTCTCCTGATAAGTCATTTTTCTGTGTTTTTTTTTTTTACTTATGCAATTAACTGATCTGATCAAAAGTGGCTCAGTTTGCCTTTAAAAAATGCAGAGAGTACATTATAACATCTAAGTATATGGGGGAAAATGTTTGACTGGACCTCTATACATTTGGTTAAGAGGTATCAGATAAAGACTTAACTATTATTTTTGTTTTGTTGCAGGGATTTCTCCAAAGTTAATATCCTGGTACCTGGTGCTGGGCTAGGTAGATTGGCGTGGGAAATAGCTATGCTCGGTTATGCTTGCCAAGGAAATGAATGGAGCCTCTTTATGCTCTTTTCTTCTAACTTTGTACTCAACAGGTACATAGCTTATGTTTTACTTGCTGGTTGACACCTACAGGGAGGCAAAATTATTGATAGAAAA